ACAGTCATGGTCAAATCTATAAAAAATCAGTGTCCTGATAGTTTTCATAAGAATCTAGATTTCATTTTTATAAATGCAGTTGTTTTGAGGTTAAATTGAGTTTGACTCATTTGACATTTAAAGTGATATTGCCCTGGGTTCTTTTCTTGTAGTACAGTAGTAAAAGATTCAATTTTTCAAATATTAAAACACATTTAAAGGTGTGGCTAGGAACAATCATTGACGTTTTAACTGCAGAAACATAAACCTTTGAACAGGTTTGGTTTGGAACAATGGAGATCAGTTCTGCAGGTATTGACAAGCTAACGGCTAGTTATGGTACCGCAAGGACCAAGTGGATTGCTAGTAATCTCAAAAGTGTCATTGTGGTTCATGCACAGATTATTTATAAACCTTTAAAAGGGAATTGGGCAGATTTTGCTTTCTTTTAGCACCCCCTAGTAGGGCTGCAACAACGAATCGATAAATTCGATGAAAATCGATTACTAAAAGCGTTGGCAACGAATTGCGTCATCGATTCGTTGTGTCGCACAACTCTTCCAAAAGCGCCCCCCCTTCCCGCCCGCCGTTGCGCACAGACCAGAGCAAGTCAGATCAGCGCGAGGGAGAGCCGCAGATCAGCGCGAGGGACAGCCGGCAGATCAGCGAGAGGGAGAGCCGCAGATCAGCGCGAGAGAGAGCCGGTACCGGCAGATCAGCGCGAGGGAGAGCCTGCAGACTTGCGCTGCTGCGAACCGGTTCCGCATTGTTGCGCAGCGATCCAGGCAGCTGCTTCCAGCGCACGGTCCATTCTCAAAGTGGCGCAACCAAAAAACTATAATTAGCACACGATCGTTCTTGTCTGCACATGTTCTCTATTTTCTGTCTTATTTGTGCCTGAAGCGCGCTACTGCGGAGCTCATCACCTGTGCTGCGGTGATTTCACCTCATGCAGCATCGAAAACGCGCTCTGCGCTTTGCGGTCAGGAGATCTCTTTGATCTGCTCAAAAGTAACTGATGAGGTGAAAAGGTAAGAATCCAGGCAACAGATTTTCTGGAGAATTATGAGGAGATGCAGGAAGATGAGACAGACAGGACAGGAAAATAGTTAAATAAAAACAAGAAAACAAAGTAAAATGTAGGTAGATTTATCTCCACTACACGTTTTTACCAGTAAAAAACAATAAGTTCTACACATGTAATATTTATACATCTGATACAATTCAGATCACCTTCAAAACTCAGTCACACACCCAGGGCCGTTTCAAGACATTTTGGGAGCCAAGGCACAATGCCCCCCCCCTCCATAACTGGGCTCCCCAGAAGCCTCTGTGTAGTTCATACCCTCTCCAGGAGTGTTAGTAAAATCCCCTCAGACATTACTGACATGTTCTAATATTATCAGATGAAAAACTAAATTATCAGACATGCTGTCTCATCTGCTTCTTTTCTAAACTTGCAAAAAGTAACAAAACCATTTGAAAGCCACTATTTGAGGATTCTCTGAAAGTTTCCATGGAGTGTGTGACAACTTATTTTTTCATTGATCCTATCGTCTAATCTCACAGCTGAAACAAGCATCCTTAATAATCTGTGCACAGGAAGCTTACCGATGCTGTAGTAAAACAAAAGGTAGTTTCTTATTAATAAAACCTTGTTGCAGCACTAAAGCATAAAAATGAGATTTTGCATTAAATATGCAAAATATTTACATATGAATTGTTTTAGAGCCCTTTTATTGGCAGAATCTGATATTAATTTAGTTCTTACAAAAAATGGGTCCCAACATGGTTTGTGTGGCGTTGCCATAGAGTGACGTCATAGGCACAGATCCCCTGTCCTCTTTTTTAGAAATGGAAATATGGTCACCCTACATTAAACAAACTGTCCACCCGGGCTTTTGCGCTGCACAGAGACGCTTCGCTGCCTATGACTTTGAATGTCAGTTGAGAGTCAGTCTCATGCAGACTGACCAATGAAGAGAGGGCCTCAAGTTAAGACCCTCTCCTCATTGGTCAGTCCACACGAGGTGGGTCAAAGGTTACTCTGGGCAGGTTACGTGTTGTCAGGCATTCAAGTATTGAGTATATTTACTGCATATTACAGTAAAATATTCTGTATGTGACCACATTATGGTGATCCTTGGGTCGTGATGATGGAGCCCTTGAATATTGTTGCCCAGGGTTCAACAAAGTGTTAATCTGGCCCTGGTTCCGCCGTCACATTCCCGCAGAAACTGGTTGATCACACCGGGGCCAGACTACTAGCATGTGGTTTTACAACCACAATGTCCTCGGAAGCAAAAACGCTTTTAAAAAGGAGGGAGGAGTCCTAACTGTTGCTGCAGGCGTGTTGTGTGAGAGTGCAGTTATATACTGGTTAATATATTTTTGGGTTCAGTTGCTTTCATGTGGCCTAATGTGAGTCTATTTGGGATCATTGGAATGATCAGCAGCATTTCTTGATGTGACTTTATGGCAGTTGCCCAGGGCATCATCGCAAGGAGGATGGCATTCATTTACTTTTGTTTTATTTGGTATTTTTTCAGTCATTTTTGGAAATAGTGATCAATTTTGATTAATTCACAGCCTATGTTTAATTACATTTAAAATAAATGTCAACAGATGAGATCAAACAAAACAGATGAGAAATGCCCTTAAGCTGTTTAACTTGGACCAAGCATTTTAGGTCACAGATAGATGTAGCTTAGGGTCTCTGTCTATACACCTTATAAGACAATTTAGGTGATGGCATGTTGTTTTTCTGCTATTGAACTGTTTTCTAATAATGTTGTGTTAAATAAAGTGAAGGAAGGAGAGAAATAACGTTTCCCTAGCAGTTTTTAAAAATTTCCCCATGTAATCGGATTAATCGTGTCGAGACCCCGTCCTATTAATCGATTATCCAAATAATCGTTTGTTGCAGCCCTACCCCCTAGTGTCCGTTTAGTACAGCCAAAACCAACCTCCTCGCTGTGCGTTAGTCTTTTTAACACCTTAAGCAGCTGAAATGTCTCCCAGCCTTCCTTAGTGTCTACAAGAGTGATTCAGCACTAAATAAAAAAATCTGCTATGCTCATGATTTAAAACATGATGGAACCAGACTGTAGTGCCAGGTATGTCAGCTCAATTTTTTCCAAGTCTGAACCGAGCGACCTGCCAGGCTGACGTTGCAAGTGGAATATTCTGGTCACAGGGGATGATGGGGTCTGAGTGGAATCCATTAACCCTGTAAAGGGTCATTTTTGCACATATTGGCGCAAGAAAATGATTTTAAAACATGAAAAAGTTACAAAGTTTCCCTTTAAATTTCCTTCAGTTTTGCATACATGATGAATCTAACAATAGTATGTAACTCCTACCAGACATGTCCCTGCCTGCACAGGAAGTGCTAAATGCTGAAGCCACAGACATTTACAGCTGTGATTCAAAAATAGCATCAGTCTAAAAAATACAGACTAGCTTTTCGCTTATTTGTTCAATCCTAATTAATCTATGTTTCCCCAAACCGAGGCTGTTCAAACAGATGGAGCCAGGAAAGATCTGAGTTTTCTAAAAGTTTTTCAGAAGATCTGGGGCCTCATTTATCAAGCTTGCTTATGCACAAAACGGGGTCGGAAAACTGCATAAGCAACTTTCCACGCAAACTTTGGGATGTATCAAAGAAAACTTAGAGGGAAAATGTGCGCAACTTTAAGTTGACTAAGGCTGTTGCTTACGCACATTTTGGACATGGAGAGCACCTGCAGTGCTGCTGCTGAGAAGGATAGAATTATGAAATCCTGCAGCATTATCACTTGTACTGCTTCGATTTCACACAGAAAAAGACCCCCCACATGCACACACGCGCACGCACATTCACACACATACGTGTGCGTACACACACACACACACACACATACAGCCTAAAGCGCAGAACACGGAATGCAGAATATCAGCAGGAGGACAGATTGAGACATAATGTCACGTGTCTGTGAAAGTGTGTGTCCTGTCACTGTGACTTGATTGATCATGCACCCTGGCTAGTTGTACAAGGGAGATCTGTTTGGCTGACTGGTTAGCGTGTGTGACTTTCACCCGGGAGTCTGGGGACTGAATCCCAATTGGACCATTTTTTTTTATCCGCCACAGATCTCTCTGAATAATTCACAACATTGACGGCAACATCCACTCCGTGGATTTTCTCTTATTTGTTTTGCAAAAGCACTTCCCTTCATTTCTCCACGTCACCCACAGGTACCTGAATTTCTGCTTCTGTGAAATTGAGCTTCCGTGATCTGCCTTGATCTACGGTCGCCATCGTCATTGGCGGAGCGCTGCAACAGTCGGCTTATGTATATGCATGAGATTCACAAGGCACTTAGCATTGACCATTTATGGCAGTACGTGGGCGTGGTGAGGGCGGGATGTGACTAAAATGCAGCTGAGAAACATTCTCGCTAGTCTCCGATTTATGAAGTGGAGATTGCGTGCAGCTGTGCGTACTCCATGTTTGATAGATCACAAAGCTGCTTGGCGTAAGAAATTTTTTTTTGCTGAGCTTAAGTACGGTTTTAGTAAGGATTCTACGCAATGTTATGAGACCCCAGAACAGTAAATTTAAATCTGAAATAAAAATGGTTGTAAGTATGTTTGTTTTATCTGATGAGTTAAAGGATTAAAAAGAAAGTTCTGGATCAGCGGTAGAGGTGAAGTTCTGGAGTTCGTCGGAAGCAGGCGCAGAAATAAAGACTTTTATAGTTTTAAAGTACATCATTTAAAACTGGCTTCAAGGACGTAATAGTTTAAAATAAAACTAATGAATCTTACATTTAGAAATCTTTTTTACAGTCGGCAGTAGAACAGGATGAAAGTGAAATGTTTCATGAATAATCAGAGTATTTTTTTATATTTATTACTTGATTATTGAGAGTTTTACTTCATGACTGATCCTGAGTTTAATGTATTTTTTCATCCCTGTGATTTCTAACTTCAGATTGATGTTTCTAAGCTGTTACTAAGTGGATTTTTGATAAATTCAGACGTGCCATAAAGAGGACTTCACAGCCTCGCTGCTTGTTCCTGAATAAATGCATCATAACAAAAAGCAGCCGCCGCTCCTGTCAAGCCTGCCGCTTCCAGAAATGCCTGGCCATCGGCATGCGCAAGGAAAGTGAGTCACGTCTGGAAATCCAAACTTTCACTCAACTTTAACTAAAGCCATCTGTTCTGATTTGTGAAATGTTTTATTTGTGTGTTTAGTGGTCATGTCTGAGGAAGAGGTTTTGAAGCGAAGGATCTGTATAAAGAAGAAAAAGATGCACAAAGCATCAACAGAGCTTTCACCTGAACAAGAGAACATCATCCAGGAGCTTCTCTACAGCTTGCGCAGCACTTTTGACTCAACGTTTTCTCACTTCACTGGCTTCAGGGTGTGTAAAAACCTGCATACTCTAAAAGCGTTCATCATTCTGCGTTTCTTAAGCCTTGATGTTGTGTTTTGTTTGTTTTTTCAGCCGATGGACAGAGAGATCCTGACAGAGATGGAGCACAGCCAGTCGGATCCACCGACCAGCTGCCTGACTCAAATATGTTCTTCATCTGGTAAATCCTCCCCTGACTCCTCATCATCCTCATACACCTGGTCCCTCTCCTCCTCCTCCTCATGTTCCTCTGAAAACAAAGACCTGGAAGGCAACAAAACCCGCTGCGTTTACACTAATCTACCACATTTTGCTGACCTCACGACCTACATGATCCAGGATATCATTCGTTTTTCCAAAAGTCTCCAGGACTTCAGGTAAATCTGTTCAATGTTTTGCAATGAGAGTTTTAAAAGTACACACACACACACACACACACACACTGTAAAATTTAGAATTAAATTCTTCACATTTTTTCTGTTGATTAAGACCAATTTAACAAAGTTTAATTGAAGTTTTCCAGAATTCTGCTTGTAAAATCATCCTAATCCAATAACAGACTCTGACTTTTGCCGTTTTTATTAATAAAAGCATCGCTGGTTCTTTTTTTATCTTTTCTCCTAAAGCAAGTAGAAACACGCCCCATTTATGAGCTACGTGCTTTTTAGGCTACTGACTTGTGTAACTTTATTGATCTTGGTGACTTGATGGTTTCTCAAGCAGCACAGCGTGAAGGTTCAAAGGTCAACACACCCTTCAGTGGATTTTACACAATGATGTAGGGCTGCTCGATTATGGCAAAAATAATAATCACGATTATGGTGACTGAAATTGAGATCACGATTATTTAGGACGATTTTTCAATTTATGTTGATTTTATTTGTTTTTATTCAGTCATAAAATTGCTCAGGGCACAATCAGGACAAAAACAAATAAGAAACAAGATGGTCACTAAAAGAACTCCTGATTCCCAGTATAAACTTATAGCTCATAGTCTATGACCCAAGGGCTATAGACCTTGGTTTAACTCGTTGAAGTCTAACAGTACAGACCTAAATACCAATATCTTGCAAATACTGACAGCAAGAATTATACAGCAGCATTTATAACAAATAAACGCAAATAAATTGATGTTCACAAAATGTTGCATAACATTTATTGAAGCCGTGTCAAGGTGCTGTAGGTGAGTGCACTAGCACCGTGTCCTCAGAGAGATTAGTTATTAGTTATCAGTGTGAGGAACTTATTTCTACCTTATTTATAAACTATTTATTTACAAGTCCATCAGTTAATGTAATAATTGTCCCAACCAAAGCTGCAACCCCCAACCCGGTCTCACAGCAATCGGGGCAAGCTGCACGTGTTTAGCACGCCGCACGCGTGCTTTAGCCGTTTTTAGCGGCTCAGGAGTCTGCAGGTACGGTGTGTGTGTGTCACTCACTCTGGTTAATCCAAAAGGGAGCCGGCTCTGAGAGCTGTTTCTTTAGCGACTGACACATCACTACATCATTCCCTTTCCTAATGTCCTGAAGAACGGTCCGGAGCGCAGGCGGAGTGTTTAGCTAACCTGCAGGAAACGTTGACGACAGTTATCCAGAAAGTAGCTAAGGGTTACCAGAGATGTTTCTGAGGTGTTCGCTAGGTAGTAGGTACTTTTAAGATTTAAAAAGTCAAGAAGGGGGTCTGAAAAGCTGCCAGAAATAGCATCAAAGTCGCCAAGTTGGCAACACCCTAGGAGGAGCGCTTCATTTGCAACTCAGGGCAGCGCAAGTGGGAGGAGCAAATAATCGGCTTGTTTTGTTTTTTATAATCGTTCAAAACTCAGATCGTAATCGTGATTAAAATTCGATTAATTGAGCAGCCCTACAATGATGTTTCTCCTGAATCTTTTCACAATATTATAACAGAGTTAGCGGACTTTAACTCATTCACTGCCAGCCGTTTCCTGATCACGAACGGCCTTCGCTGCCAGCGTTTCTCACCGTTTTTACTGTTTTTTTTAAGAGTCACAGAACGTTGTGCGCTAGCATGATGTTGACGCCAAAACAACCAAAACAAAGAGGAGACTCCCCTCTTACATCAGGAAGAAGCCGCGTGTTTCGAGCGTTATCCGTTCTTTCATAATCCGTTGTTGAATTGTGATCGGCAGACGCTTTTCCGGTTCGTGCCTCACTTTTTTTTACAGGAACGGCCCAAAACGATCTCCTGACACATGGATAGTCTGCTTCCTGATCATGTGACGTGTGACGTATGCAGATGAAGATCGGCTTCAGGGCTGAGATGTTTGTTCTCTCCACGCGGGGGCTCGTTCCGATGCTCAAACAGTAAAAAAATGCAAATGACGACTTTAGCCGTCATTGGCAGTGAATGAGTTAATTATTTAAGCTGACTGATGAGCCTCTGATGGATTTTTGCACAAATAATACTAATAATAATTTTATGTTTCTTATAGATCTTTGACTATCGAGGACCAGATATCTCTTCTGAAGGGAGCCGTGTTTGACATAATGCTGATTCGCTTCAACATGGTGTTTAACTTGGCGACGAGTAACTGGGACTGCGGCCATATAACGTACTGCATCCACGACGCGGTGCGAGGTGGGTCTGCCTTCTCAACTGTCTGGTGTTGGATTGATAGTCTGCTGCAAATACTTGGTCTTATATGAGGAATGCTGATTTACATCTTCAAAGTGATCTAAGTAAACATCTTAAGTATGTTCAATGTCAGTTTTACATACAAGTTTTATTTATCTGGAGAGCTACAAGTTCTGTCCTCACAGCGCTGGCTGCACCATAGCACACCAGAATGTGGCCAAACCGGTGCAGCCTGTTCAATCATCACGCTGGAGCTCATTCATTAATTGTGTTCTCACTTTGGTCTACAAACAAATGTTTCTTTGACATTTGGGTTAAAAATCCATATGTTTGTGCTTGTTTAACGTGTAAATAAAGATCTACTGCACCAGGTGCATGTATAGATTTCATATAGGATCGATCAGTTATTCAAAAAAGCATACTGGACCTAATGGAGGCTATTTTTAGAAAACGATTGGGATATTCTGATGATAAACCTGATCATGATCTACTACATGTTTGAATAAAAGTTTATAAGTGATATTTCACTCCCAAAAAGCAAGAGCTTTTTATTTTTATGTGAAAATAAAATATTTGTTCATTCTGGCAGCTAAATTTGTGCTGAATGTATAACTTTATGGTGATCTCCTGGTTCAGTTTCTCATTTCTTCCAAATATAGAAACTCATCAGTGAAGTCTGTACACAGCTGTGCCTAATTCAATTCAATTCAAAGATATTTTATTAATCCCAGAGGGATTATCAAGAAGTCCAGGATAGTTTGGATCTAGTTAACTTGTGGCTCCTCTTGAAAAACCAGAAATGGGTACCTCAAAGTATTTGCATGCTGATTTGCCAGCAGCTCATAAACGGGGAGGAAGTGATCAGATAATTAAGAGGTGCAGAAATGATTGGACGAAATGGAAAACATGTCCATTTAGATTTGGAACACGGGTTGTTTTTCAGTCACTCCCGCATCGTGCTTTAACCCTCTCATTGTCTTTATGGGTGACCCCGCGAGGAAAGTTGACCATTGAGCAGGATTGATGGTTTATCCCTTGAGGTCCACGTGGTGGTGGTCCACGTGGTGGTGGTCCACGTGGTGGTGGTCCACGTGGTGGTGGTCCACGTGGTGGTGCTCACTCCTCACCCCGTCACATGGACCTCGAGGGATAAACCGTCAACCCTGCTCAATAGTCAGCTTTCCTCGCGGGGTCACACCCATTAGGACAATGAGAGGGTTAAAGTTTGTTGACTTACTTTGTTGTGAAACTTAAGAAAATGATTGGTGTTATGTCAGTCTTTAGTCATCGTCAGATAATGTCGCTTAATGTCCTTTGCTGCCTTCTTGAAATGACTCAAACTTTTCAAAGCAGTTTGAAAACATTGTTTTATTCATCTTTACACCGCTATTAATTTGTTGATTTGTTTATCGCTAAAGCTAATAGCAGCTGCTGCTAATTGTGGCACTTTTGGTGCAGTCTGGGGTAAGACTAGCAGGAATATCCATAAAATGTGGGAGTAACAAATACATAACTGTTTATAAAGTACTGGAGACTGGAGTTGTTTTAAGATGGCAGCATACACTTTATTCTTGGCTCTGCATTGACTATGTTTATGTTTATGTATTTTGCAGACGCTTTTGTCCAAAGCGACTTACAAGTGATAATGGGCATGTTGCCCTTGAGGCTAACAACAACAATAACAACATGTTAACATGCTAGCTCATCAATCTGGTCAGAGGTCATCTGTTTCTCTAAGCTAAAGTGGCTAATAGAATCTAAAATCAACTTATCTGATCCATTGCTTTGTATTTCAGGAGAACATATCTCCTTCCCACTGATCTGGCTTTGTGTGTTTCACAGCGGGTTTCCAGCCCCTTCTGCTGGAGCCCATGTTAAAATTTCACCAAGCGCTTCGCAAACTGGACCTGCAGGAGGAGGAGTACGCCCTCATCCAGGCCATGTCCCTGTTTTCCCCGGGTAGCTGCTCATCTTCAGCTCATCCCATCTGTACTGATTAATCATTAATGAATCCTGTCAATGTGTAAACCCTGCTAACTGTGCGCATTAGCAGCATCAGATTAAAACAGGTTTGTTTTGATTCGAACCATCCAGATCGCCCTGGGGTTCAGCAGCACAGTAGGATCGACAGAGTTCGCGAAGACCTGGCGCTCACTCTACAGACCTGGATCCAGTGCAAGAGGACGGGCCCAACTAAACAGTGAGTTTGATGCCTCTCTCTATGTCCTCAGTGTAAAAGGTTTCATAACACCTTTTCTCATTGCTTTAGCCTGCTGTACCCCAAAATGATAGCCTGCCTAACAGAACTGAGAACAATGACTGAAGAGTACAGCAAGCAGATTCTGCAGATCCAGGACGTCCAGCCTGACACCATTTCTCCTCTCATCATAGAGGTTGTCAGTAAAAACCCTGGAAAAGATGTCTGAAGCAGGTTTTACTGCCTCAAGCACTCTTTCATATTTAATTACAGAGACCTCAAACTGAATGTGACCATTCGTTTAAATGAAAGTATCCTGGTGTTGCCAAATGAAAACATAAAAATGCTTTTTATAAAAGACGTAAGACAAACCTCACCGAAGCGAGTGGTGAGATAGTTATATTTGTAGCTTTGCTTACAGTAGTGTTGTGAGTTTTGATGTTTATGGCACACACAGCTGTGAGACTGCCAAGTTAGTCTTGTCTCAGGAAGTATTTGGAAGCGTGGCGGCCAAGTGTTTCTTACCGTTTTGGATTTGTTACCTCAGAAATGTGTTTGTTGTGTTTAAATGTTTTTGTGCAAAACAGGAATAAGCTTATTGTAAATACAAATGTGACTACAGCTGCTATTGAGATTTCTGGTTATTCTTCTGGGGTCTCATTTATCAAACATTGTGTAGAATCCTTACTAAAACCGTACTTAAGCTCAGCAAAAAAAATGTACTTACGCCAAGCAGGTTTGCGGTCTATCAAACATGGAGTACGCACAGCTGCACGCAGTCTCTGCTCCATAAATCGGAGACTAACGAGAATGTTTCTCAGCTGCATTTTAGTCACATCCCGCCCTCACCACGCCCACTTACTGGGCGAACAGCATTGAATTCACAGATAAAATAGATGTGGGTTCAACTTTCATTTTGGAACAATTTTTCAAGCAAGGAAAGGGAATGATCTGAGCATGCAGGGAGACTGACCCATCTTAAACCTTTGTCGGCTGTGCTGAAGAGAAAGGTACAGAACCAAATTATTTAATTAGCTGCGTGTTCTCCTGTCCTCTTTCCTCCGGGCCACACACACACACGGGACTGTCTCAGCTGTTATTTTCGTTAAGGAGTGTGCACGTACAGCATCCGCGCCTCGTGCACGAGCCTATTGAAGATGCCGTTACGCTTTTGGCCTGAGGGGGCAATCGCAAGCATAAAAATTCAAAACTCCGTAAAGTCCCTTTAAAGTTGTGCACATATTTCCGCTAAGTTTTCTTTCATAAATCCCAAAGTTTGCGCGGAAAGTTGCTTACGCAGTTTTCCGACCCCGTTTTGTGTGTAAGCAAGCTTGATAAATGAGGCCCCTAGTTCTTTGTTGTGTAATGTTGAAGGGGGCATTTTATGAGGAACTTTTTACCATGTGATATTATTTCCTCCGGAAAAAAAAAATGTTTTTAGCTACGTTCATGCATGTCTTCAGTTGCAAATTTTGAGTTTTACTTTGAAAATCCTGTAATGCCTTAATGGGGACTAACCTCATCATTAGACTTGGTAGTCCAGTGGTTAAAGTTCCCACATAGACACCTTAACCGCCTTAGCCAACACAGCAACCGACTCGCCTAAGACGCTGTTGTAGACATATATTGTTGGAGCGGGCGTGGGCGGAGTGTCACTGAAAAACCATTTTATTAATGCTTATACATTCAGGCTGATGAAAATAAGTCATACTTAAGATAAAAGACATCTGGATAGTGCCAACAACAGTTATCATATACTGAGCCTACCTTTGCTCTCAAAGTTTTAAAATAGCATAACATGGATCCTTTAAAGCAAAAATGCTGTAGTCATTCAGATATGTCTCTGTTGCAAATGGTCCACTAGTAAGTAAGTATATTTTATTTATATAGCACATCTCACAGACATAGAATCACAAAGTGCTTCACACAGATCAAAACCAAATAAAGCAAAGTGATAAGAAAAATAAAGATTTATGTGAAATCAGCTTTAAATAAAAGGTCTGTAGCTGTTTTTTATTTTTTATTTTTTAAGTGTCCAGACTGTCAATGCTACGTAAGGAAAAAGGAAGATCATTCCAAATTCAGGGTGCACCAGTCTGGAAGGAGCAATCATCTCCACTTTTAGTTTTCCTAATCCAGATTGCAAAACTGTAAAACCACTCTTGTTTGTATTTTTACATCGTCCACCAGGCCCTTACTCTGAGTTTTTGGATCAGATCTCTGATTTTTTATCTGATTTGGTGCTAAATACTGATAAGGTCATTGTAGTGGGGGATTTTAACATTAGTGTGGACATTGAAAATGATAGCCTCAATGTAGCCTTTAGTAATATCTTAGACTCAATTGGTTTTACCCAAAGAATACATAGCTCCACCCACTCCTGCCATCATACATTAGACCTTGTGCTGACTTAAGGCATAGAGTGTGAGGAAATAACGATCTTTCCACATAATCCAGTCCTCTCGGACCACTTTCTGATAACCTTTGAGTTTTTTATAACTGAGTTCTCGAGACATGAAACTAAATTTCACTATAGTCGGTCTCTATCTGACAACGCTGTTGCATCTTTTAAATCAACTGTTCCATCTTTACTGTCCTCAGCATCTCAGAGGAACATAGCAGAGGGCAATATTTTCAGTTCTAGCCCCTCACAAATTGATGCCTTAGTTCATCATGTTACTTCCTCTTTATGTGTGGCATTAGATGATGTTGCCCCTTTAAAAAAGAAGGTAATTAGGGACAGGAAGTTGGCTTACTGGTTTAATTCTCATTTACAAGCTTTAAAGCAAAACTCTAGAAAATTGGAGAGAACATGGCGCTCTATGCACCAGGAGTCCTACTTATCATGAAAAAATAGTCTTTATAAAAATAAGCTTTGACAAACTAGAACTGCTTATTTCTCAGCATTAATTGAGGAGAATAAGAATACCGTAAATCCTCTAATACAGGCCGGTATTCAATTAAAGGCCGGGTCTCCAATTGTGGCCGGTGTCAGAGTTAGTTTAGGTAAATAATGGCCGGTCTCTTATTGTGGCCGGGTGGAATGTAGTAACAAGCAAGTATGAGCGTCCCGGTGGCAGGGTTATAGTCCCCAAATCAACCAGCAGGAGGCAGTAGACGTTCACGCAGACCTTTATTAAGCTTTTTCTTCAACGCTTTGTAACGCTACAGACACGATCCTCTATCACGCTCCTACCACACAGAGTCACGGTGTCAGTTAACCATGCTAATTCAACCCGCTCCACAGAACACACATCACCTTCCCTGTGGCTTACATAACACTCACACAACACGCAAATCAGCACATAGGAACTAGCAGAATGATAGGAAACACATATGACACAATACCCAGAATGCACCTGGCTTACAACCCCAGCCAGGTCATTACACTATCAAGTTCAAAGAGAACGTGCTGATTATGCTGCAGAACACTCTGGAGAGCAGCAGTAGGGGGTGTATGAACTAGTCAACTTCACTATAGTGACTTTTTATGCCTGTCGTCGACTAGTCGCTGTCACGTGATAATGACCGGCAAGATGCAGCCCTCGGAAAAGACAGCAGTCTGCTGTCAGCAGGTGACAAGCTCCTGCGCTCAGGGGGTGGGGGTGGGGGGGGGGCAACGCGCTGTGCCAGACCGTAGGCACTGACACGCGATCGTTCATGTCGGTTCATTTCCTTTAATGTTTTCTGTCTTTTATTTGCGCCTGATGTGTATCGCTGCTGTGGAGCGGGGCGCATCAACTTGTCCCTGATGCGGCCGGCAAGCAGGGAGCGCTCCGCTGTTTTCGCGGTCGGTAGATCTGCCTCCTGAGCACGGCCACAGTAACAATCAGGTGTCGCCACCTCAAAAACTAATTTAACACGCGATCGTTCATGTCAGTTCATTTCCTTTAATGTTTTCTGTCTTTTATTTGCGCCTGATGCGTTTGCTGCATGCTGTGGAGCGGGGCGCTGCGCGCATCACCTTGTCCTCCGACGCACTGATCACTGATACGGCCGACAAACAGCGAGCACTCCGCTGTTTTTGCGGTCGGTAGATCTTTTAGAACTGCAGTTCAAAGGTAACTCATGAGGTGAATATATATGAACCCAGGTAGCAGTTTTTCTTTAGGATTGAGAGGAGATGCAGGAAGATAATAAACAGGCAGGACAGAAAAATAGTCAAAATAAAAACAAGTTAGTTTTTGTACCTGCTGTTGCAACAAACAGACACCATTGAAGGTCATCAGAAGTGAGGAACAGAAAATGAAATAATTATTTTAATGTTTAGAGCAGCAGGAACTCCGAGAGGCTGCAGGCGCATCAGTGAGTTTGCGGCCGCTGCGCAGGGGGAGGGGGGAGAGGGCTAAAGCAGGGGGAGGGGGGAGAGGGCTAAAGCAGGGGGAGGGGGGAGATGGCTGAAGCAGAAACTACCGTTGTTAAAAGAAATGTGTTTAACTTTGAAAATGTGGGCGCAATTTTAATTGTCAAAAACTCCAATGAACATTAGTTCATTTTGCTCAAATGGAAATAGAGGCCTGCCTCTAATACTGGCCCTCCTTCCAATAAAGGCCTGGAGCTTGATGAGCTTGAGTCAAATAGAGGCCCGGGCCTGTATTAGAGGATTTACGGTAATCCTAAATTTCTTTTCAGTACAGTTGCCAAACTTACACAGAATCATAGCTCTGAACCATCTATTCCCTTAGTACTCAGCAGCAACGACTTTATGGGATTTTTTACAAGTAAAATTAATTCTATTAGAAACAAAATCTTTAGCATCCTCCCTAATGCGGTTTCTTCTTCCTCAGTAAGTGAGGCAGCATCAGAGGTAACTGTAGAACCTCATCTGTGTTTGAACTGTTTTGATCCATTTGAGCTTTCAGAGTTATCAAAAATATTAGCTTCATCTAAACCAAGCCCCCACAATGCGGGTCAAAATTTGAGGCAAACGCGGAAGTGAAATAAATTGCAGTTCCACCCTCATCCGCTGGGGGCTGGTTTCAGAGGCGATGTAGAACCTCATCTGTGTTTGAACCGTTTTGATCCAGTTGAGCTTTCAGAGTTATCAAAAATATTAGCTTAATCTAAACCAAGCCCCCACAATGCGGGTCAAAATTTGAGGCAGACGCGGAAGTGAAATAAATTGCAGTTCCACCCTCATCCGCTGGGGGCTGGTTTCAGAGGCGAGCAAATGCTCATTGACTCCCATGTTAAAAATACCAATTTCACAGCAGAAATAAAGATGTTTACAGCCTGGTACCAAAACATGTTTTTGGTTTAAATGATCTAGTTTACACTCATGACAACTCTGAGGGGGGTGAATTTTTTTTTCTCACTCTACTGTTTAAGTGTATTAAATGCCTAAAATTCTGTATAATTAATGAGCATCAGACCCACATGACCGCCGCCTCAGACCTACGTGACCACAGAGATAGCTCAGTGGAAAGGCCTCAGTAGAGCCTCGGTCTCGCCTGAAAACTGTTCCGCGATTTTTAGTCTCTGAAATTAGGCCACTAGTTGTAGCGTTTGTGTATTCTTTTTTGGATATTATTTGCGCAATTGTCGGACAAAATGACTTGCTGTGGTATTAATTGCAGTCCAAGGAGTCTCCACTTCATTTTTTCTGGTAAGTAATTATATTT